GTGTGTATGTGTGTATGTGTGTGTGTGTGTGTGTGTGTGTGTGTGTGTGTGTGTGTGTGTGAGAGAGAGAGACAGAGAGAGAGCGAGAGAGACAGAGAGAGAGAGAGAGAGACAGAGAGAGAGAGAGAGAGAGACAGAGAGAGAGAGACAGAGAGAGAGACAGAGAGAGAGAGACAGAGAGAGAGAGACAGAGAGAGAGAGACAGAGAGAGAGACAGAGAGAGAGAGAGAGAGAGAGAGAGAGAGAGAGAGAGAGAGAGAGAGAGAAATAGAGAGGATGAATGCTCGAAAGAAATTATGACATTGTTCTTTTCTTCAAATTGTGATTCCTCCAACTCCATAACGGAGGAAAAGCGATCGTTCATCAAAAAGACATCCGCAATCTTCATTTAGATTTAGATCTCGAAACTAGAACATGTCTGTCTGTCTAGATCTAGCCTAGGCCACAGAAAAGAAGAATCTCGGTCTACCCTGAGCCAAGAGGGCGCTGAAACTTTCCGAAATCACAAAAGAGTTCCCCTATCGGGTCTGTATTATACTTTGTGACTTTGTTCCCGGTTACGGGGTCTGTATACACTCCCCAAAAAAATACTCAAGCAAGGTTCTCCAACATTTTGCAAACAAAAATCCCAATAACTTTAAATTTATTAATGGATTTTAAAAATTTAAAAACCATGGTTCTTAGAAGTTACTTTATTTTCATTTAAGCCCATTTTTAAGCAATTTGGGTGAAAATTTAATTTTCCATTGTCATTGCTAACTAAGACTAGATCTAGAGCCTATGTACGGCATACCGTCACCTTAGTGTTTTGTGATGACTATTTCCGGAAGTGAACTTTTGTATTACCATAACTTCGGCTCTTTCAAAAACATTGACCCAAAATTTAGTTTTGTTGAGAGGCCAGCCTTTCCTGTAGGTGTGAGGTGAAGATTTTAGTCAGATAGTGTATAAAGAAGACCCCTAACCGAGACTTGACACATGTCCTGACATGTACCCCATATCGTCACGTGTCGGGTTTTCTGTCATGGTATGTACCCCATACCGTCACCCACTACACCCCATACCATCACACCCAAATTGAAGCACAACTAGGCGTTTGAAAAAAGGAAAGAAGGAAAGACGAACTCCTTTTGTACAGTGGGCCTAAGAGTACTAAGACAACTAATGTTTATTGACATACTAAAAAGAATAACCACCAAAACAGACACACATACATCTTACTCACACATAGATCTAGGTACATGAATGTTTCATTTTACTCTTCCAGACATATCACAAACTCATATGAACATCTCCCTCACACACAGGTACATGAAGGCTTCATTTTACTCTTCCTCACATATCACAACAAACTCACTTGAACATCTTTTACTCACACACAAGCTCTTGAATGCTTCATTTTACTCTTACACACATATCACAAACTCATATGAACATCTTCCTCACACAAAGGTACATGAATGCTTCATTTTACTCTTCCCCACATATATCACAACAAACTCACTTGAACCAGATTCGTTTAAAATCGCTCTTGTAAAACCGTTGCTAAAGAAGCAAAACTTAGATCAGAATGTCTTAAAGAACTATAGACCTGTTTCAAATCTACCTTTTTTGTCTAAAATCCTTGAAAAGGTTGTCCCCGAGCAGCTTCGTCATCACTTACAAGAAAACAATCTGTTAGAGCCATTCCAGTCTGCCTATCGAGCTAACCACAGCACAGAAACAGCACTTCTTAAAGTCATGAATGACATGCTTACTGATTGTGATTCAGGAAAAGTTGTTTTGCTGAGCCTTTTAGATCTATCAGCAGCTTTTGATACATATTGACCATCACATTTTATTGAAGCGATTAGAAGTGTCTTTTGGAATATCCGGGACTGCCCTTAGCTGGTTTTCTTCTTACCTGTCAAATCGTTACCAATCTGTTTTTATTAAAGGGCTTAAGTCATCAGATCATGCTCTTAAGTATGGGGTCCCCCAGGGCTCAGTCCTCGGTCCAATTTTGTTCACCATTTATACTCCACCACTTGTCAAGGAAATAGTTAAAATATGACTTAAAATACCATTTCTATGCTGATGATACCCAAATTTATGGTTCAACATTGTTTACCAACTTAGATGAACTTATCCATCGTGCTGAAAATTGTATTGCCTTAGTGAAAAACCGGATGAACAAAAATAAATTGATGTTAAATGATGATAAAACAGAAGTCATTCTGGCAGGCAATGCAAAGTCTGTTAAAGAGGTTGACCATGATCACATTAAAATTGGTGATGCAAAAATTTTATTTTCAAGAAAAGTTAAGAATCTTGGCATCTATTTTGATTCTTATTTGTCAATGTCGGCTGAGGTAAATCATCTGATCAGCTGCATGTATTTAGAAATAAGAAAAATTAATAAAATACGTCATCTGATCAATACCAAGTATACTGCTTTACTAGTAACTAGCTTAATTTTATCTTAACTCGATTTATTGTAACTCCTTGTTATCAGGAATATCACTGGAGAAAGTTAAAAAACTTCAAACTGTCCAAAACAATGCAGCACGTTTAGTTTTACGGAAAAGAAAGCGAGACTCTGCTAAACCTCTTTTACGAACTTTGCATTGGCTTCCTGTTGAGAAAAGGATTGTGTACAAGTTGGCCACCATATGTCACAAATGTTTGAATGATAATGCACCATCATATTTATCAAATCTGTTAAGACTGTACATTCCAACTCGCAGTTTAAGGTCATCAGCTGACAAAAAGAAATTTATTTTACCATCTATGAAACTTAAAACAATGGGTGAAAGGGCATTTGAATACCAAGGCCCCAAGATCTGGAATGCTTTACCAAGTACGTTGAGAGAAATCAAATCTTTTGATTCATTCAAAGGTCAGCTGAAGTCGTTTCTGTTTTTAAATTAATAAGATGAATATTTGGAATAATTTTCTTTAGTCAGAACACAACGTTTCATGTTACTGTTGTATGTTGTACTGTATTGTAAAGCACTCAGAGCCTGTGTACTTTATTAGGGGTTGAGCGCTATATATAAATGTCATTTATTATTATTATTATTATTATTAACATCTTTTACTCACACACAAGTACTTGAATGCTTCATTTTACTCTTCCACATGTATCACAACAAACTCACATCATGAACATCTTACTCGCACACATACATGAATTTCCTTGTTGTTTCTTCTTCTTCTTCCCTGTTCTCTGCTTCTCCAACTTCGTTACTTTTTCTCCTCTTTTCTCTTCTTCCTTCTCCACCCTTTTCTCTCCCTTTCTCTCTTCCTCTTTTCCACTTCTTCCTTTTTCTTTTCTTCTTCCAATTTCTTCGCCTCCTCCCATGCTTTGTACTTTGCCCGTAAGACATGTATGTAGGGGCCTTAGCCCGCTTCTCTGTGTTGAAACCTTAGATAGTTCCAGCTTGCTGGTATGGGCAGGTTGATGAACGAGGGGGCAGGAATGAGTTGATTTTACAAATCAAGGTACTTTCTGTATGCCCCCTCGTTCTCCTTAGGTTCGATTTTGTGCCAATGGCAACGGCGGACCCAATGCATGTCTGATGCCATCCATCCAGTGGCAATGGCGTGATCAATTAGACTGTCAAGGACAAAGCAAAAGTGTTGTCCTGAGGCAGTTTTTGGGGGCCTTGGGGTGTCACCAGAGTTTCATCTTCCAATGGTCTCAATGCCTGCTCGGGTAGACAATAGACATAGTCCTGGTTATCCACAGGATCCCGAGCTGGGGTCGAAACCAAAGGTAGCTGAAACTCTGCTGCAGGATCCAGGAAGTCCTCGGAGGTACATTCGATCCCCGAGAATTCCAGACCTGTGGTCGAAAAGTCTAGGGCATCAACTGACCACTCACAACTAGAGACAAGGGCAGTTGGGGGAGGGCCAGCAAGTTTTTCTTCTGAAACAGAAGCAGTAGGAGCAGGAACAATATCACAACATGTGGAAACAGTGGCTGGAAGAACATCATCACAACATGTGTATACATTGGACAGAGGAACATCATCATCATCATTACATACAACGGGATAGAGTTTCCTTCATATAAATTTGTTTCAAACATTAAAAAAGAACAATCTAAAGTCGCTCATTTTCTAATGAATCCGTGTCTAAATAGATCTATCTAGATCTAGATCTAGATCTATATCAAATCATAGAAACTAAAAAATCTAAAGTACTAAGATGCCATCCATAGTCCGTCAAGAAATAGGGTGACCTTATTTAGGCCTAAATAAGCAAAAAAAACTTCCCTTACCTTATTTAGGCCACCTGTGGCCTAAATAAGCTAAACTCCCCCTCCCTTACCTTATTTAGGCCATATGTGGCCTAAATAAGCACTCCCCAAGAAATAACTTTTTCAAGTCACGCACCATGTAAAAAATACGGTGACGGTATGGGGTACATCCATTAAAAAATTGTACCCCATATGGTCACCCCCCCTACGGGCGCCAATTGTTACAACAAAGAGCAGCGAATGGTTTGCGGCGGTAACTAGACACCTTATAAACTGAATAAAAATGCGAAACGAATCCTGCGGGTACGATTGTAGAACCAATAGCTTATTTCCAAAATGTATTGCGCATCTGCAAGCCGTAATGGCTGAACGCGGTTCTTACATTTGGAGATGAAATGGATCATTTCTGCTCACACAGGTGTCTGATTCTGCTCAAAATTGTTGAACTTGAAAACAAAACAATGTTGAACGGAATTGTTTAGCAGACAGCATTCCAGATTATCGCATAATTGTCTGGTTGTCCAATTTTAGGCCAAATGCGTGCCAACTGACAGTATGACGTACGTGACGGTATGCCGTACATAGGCTATAGATCTAGAGTAAGAGAGCGGACCATTGTCACCATTGACTTCGACAGAAGCTCAATAGTGGTTCCGGCTTTGTTAAGAGTTGGGTCCACCAAAGTTCAATCTTAATGATGTGACTACTAACATGAACTTATTATGAAACTTTTTTCGGTTAAAAACTACAAACATGCCTCTAACTCTTCTCTTTCCAGATCGTTTCCCAGCTGAGCGTAGTCAGTTTGAGCAACAGCAGCCATTTTGCTTCCTCTCCATTAGTCCCGCGGTTATTGTTATTCCATGAAGCAGTCAAAATTTTAGGTGTAAGTATTTCCTTTGTTTTTATTTATAAAAGTAGATCTACTGATTGTATCATCAAGATTTTATTTGAATGATGAATCTGAAGATATTTTGTAAGGAAAATACGAGGATTCGTTATCAATTTCATTAAATAATAAATAATGGGCCCGGGCAATAATTCGTTTTTTTTTCTAAATCCGATTTTTTTTTTAAAAAAAGGTAACTTCAGGATTCAGGAGTAACAAACTAACAAGTAAACATCTATGATGGGAGTAACTGGGAGAACTGATTACTGATTCTCTAAAAACCGAAAAACCGAACACAGTTAGATTCTTATAGGCCTATTCACCTCCCCAAGAGATTGATTCCGTTTGATTTAGTGACCAAATGCCCCGATTCGGCTCAAAATTATGGAATTTGAGTTGAAGACATTTTTAGCTTCCTCAGCCTCTCCTACAACTATTTCATCGCATAAGAACCCCAAAAAACCGTATTGTTTCCCATATTGGGCATGTTTATCACCACCATTTCCTCAAAAAGTCAATATTTTATTTTTCTTTACCGGCCGTTTTCTCAAACGCAACTTTTCTCTATATTTTTTTAATAACTCCACCATTTTTCATCCAATCTTCATGAAATTTTCACCGAATGAAGAGAAGATGTAATACTAAAAACATGTTTGTTGAATTTTTGATATTTGGAATAGTTTTTTGTTGGTGGTGTCTTGAGTGTGAATTTTCACGGATTTTTTGCAAACTTTAATGTTACCTCAGAAAAAAATTCATAAAAATTGTTTTAATTCGTTTAGGAAAAAAACAACAGATACATTTTTAGATCTAATGTTTGTTAACACGCATGCAAAAAAAACAATCAATTTCCATGAGTTGTAAGTGCGGTATTCAGTACGTAAGACATGTCAACAAAATCCAATATGGTCGCCGTATCCATGGAAACGAAACTTTTTTCTCAAATTTGATTGCGGTTTTTAAGACTCCTTACTATGCTTGTTGTATGTGTGAGATTTTGTCAAATTCGGTCTAGTAATAAGCGAGATATAATAGCCTTCAGGTGTAGCCCCCC